TTCAACAGTAGTTGACCGCAGTTTCTTTTTCTCTGTTCTTGACGTTAAGGTGTGTCAGGAATCAAGAACTTTCCAAATTGCTGAAAAACAAGGATGAACAATGATGAAACTTTGAAACTGAGCTTTGACTGTAAACATGTTTTTGTACTGGGAGGGGCACGTTAATGGCAGACTTTCCCCAGGAGCTTTGGGGAAGGGGTCTTTGGCGCTGAAGCCCTTGGACACCTCACCTGGTGAGGTGGTGGCCACCAACACATCGTCGCAGATGACTGGCGGCTTTGTGTTGTATCAAATGAATATATTAATCAGCAAGCCTTTCGATCTGCCCTAGTGTTTGGTAATCACTTGGAGTCGTTGCTGTTATTTTTTGTTTCTTTCCGGAGAACTCAGCAGAGCCGTGTCTCAAAGGCATTCAAAACAAAAGTGGTTTGGTAAATGTGTGAAGTGCACTTGGGGCTCTATAGTTTTGAATCTTGATTTATCTTAATCGTTTTGTTGAAATCATAAAAGATGTACAGGCAAAGGTGGTTTTGATGATAGTGCCATTTACAAAAATAAAATTATTTTGCCATTTATTTGATTTGAATAAACTCTAACCAATGGACTTTTGTACTGATAATGAAACAGTGAAGAACAGGGTGATTTGTGCATGTGTATGCGATCGAACCTGAAAACATTTGACAAGTATACAGCATTGTGTACATTCACTGTATATGTACACATACTTATCATACGGTACACATGTACGCATTGGTACCAGGTACGACTACCGTACACTCTGGCAGAGATGCATGTAAAGTACCATCTTGACAGTGGCTGCATGTTGACAGGTGATATTCAATACATCCACATTCCGAGCCATATTCAATTGATGCACATGCGGGCACTCAACGAATTCACCTTCTTCAAAGATCAGAACAGAATCCATGCATGCGTGTACATTTCAATCACAAACATCACTGTAGGCCTACCCCAGATCATCCCCAGCACCTGGTGATAGTGTACACATGCATGATGTTATCAGTACACACTGGAAGTGGTCTTTCCGAGGGGGGGAATCAGGAATTGTTTTTGCCGCATTCCTTAACATTACTCGCAGAAAAGAGAAAAGAGGATATTTCTTAGAAAAAGAGTCCTTTTCTGTCATTAAAAATGTAATCACTTTGGTGATACAAATGCAAAAAACTGTCCATGTTCAGCATATTATATAGAACTTAAGCGTATGAATTCCCTGTCCATACTGTGCATTTCAGTCTCTGCACCAGCACAAAATGATAAATGTGAATTTCAATCATTTCAGTGCTTCAGTTTACACAAACGCACTGCATTCAGTCAATTCTTACCGGTAAAAACCTGTAATAACATTGTACTCTGCCAGTAGAATTACATGTACGCACCAGCATACCCTAGTCGGTGGATGCTCGGCAAAACTGCCTTTTCAAGCTTTAATGAAGGAGAGAAACGTCTGTGAAGGGATCGGAACAGACGAGCCGGATGATTGGAAAAAAATTCCCATGTGACCAGGGAGCTGTCGCCACATAGAGTTTGATAGAGACATGCATGTACAACAGATTAGCAATCTCTTTTCTGTGCAGCCTTTACATGTACTTTTCGGTGCCTTTCCAAATGAAAGGCAGTTTCCTATTCATCTGCCATTTGTTAACCTGAGTGGCCGACGGGGATTCTGGCATACTGTACTTTGCTCACGTGAGCAGAAAACTCACACGATTGCAGCATGCCTGTTGAACTGTGGTCAAATGCCATTTCAGATTTTCTACTCAGGAGACCCGAAACTCGGGTGTCTTGACAGACAAGTCATCAGTGCTGCTACCTGACCTCAAGTGTGTGTGAGGACCGACAGCTTCAGAAATTCTGAGCTTCAGTTCTGCATTTTAGTGATCTGTGCTACGATGACGCTGTGAATTTTCTGAGGACATGATTGCTCACTGTCACAGCCAAAAGTTGAACCCCACAGATTTATATTAGAAGTGTGTAGTACAGGGTTAGCCAGAATGCATGAATCGTGTGGGATTAATCACATTCTGGGTTGCGCGGCGCATTCCCAGATACAAAATATTTATTTCACTCAGACCCAGAGTCTTATTGAAGCTATGGCACCCAGGGTTCACAAACATCCAGGCTCCACATAAACAGGCACAAGCATTTTGATGAATTAAGTTAATGACGTGATTTACATGGATTTCCCGTTTGATGTCACCATCCGGTGTGAAGTTTCATTGTAATTATATAAATCGTCGTACGACTGATGAACAGAAAATGTGTACAAGAGAAACACTGCCTTGCTGATGTGCTAATGCAGGTTCGATGATGTATTGTGGACTTCCAGCTGGTTGACATGTTTAATCCGGTTTGGCATAGCAGACATGACAGTAAGGATGTTGATTAATTAATCACTGCGTTCATTGGCATGGTAGGTTAGATACATGTATTTGTATATATGTTTCCGTATGAACTCATGCTAAATCATTTTTTTTCTTTCTTTCTCTTTTTTTTTTTTTTGGTGTTTGATCCAAATAGTGAATTCTTTGGGGGCGGTGTTGGTCAGCATAGTACCGGTACCAGTACAGTATATGTACCAGTATGTATGGTTCCTAGACTTCAGGGGGACCATAGATAGCATTAATGTGCAACCAGTCATAAGAGATCCAGTTAGGGGCAGAGCAGTTCCATGCAAAAATTCTTTTCCCCCCTCCCCCCGAAACCATGAACATGCTTTGAGGCTGGACTTTTGTGGATAGTTTCTTTGACTGTTCCCCTCCACTTTTCCATCAGTAACCCTCACTTCAAAATCCTTCTAAAGCTCTTCTTCCAAAATGGAGAAAACCTTGTGTGGACTCGGCTTAGATCTGGTCTGCACAGCCTGAACTGCTTGGATCTGTTTTTGTTCCCAGGTCTAGACAGAGACCAGCAAGGTTGGTATGCACTGGTTTGCAAGCAGAACAAGACAGCTACCAATTTTCGTCAGAATTAGTACAAACCTGTATAGTGTCTTCATGTTAGTAATTTCTGCACAGTAACAATTTATGACATTCAATTACCACACTTGTACATGCACCCGTCTGCAGGGTCTTTAGCACCACCTGTCAACATTCCAGTATAGTTTCACTGATACCGGTACGGGTACATGTACATGTACCCAGTACATGTACAGTGTATGTCTAAATAAACGGTGGCAACGTGTCTTGTTGCTGTTGAAATGATGCTGCAAAGGGGAAATTTCACATACACTGTAGGCTTTGGTCCCACTGACAGTACCAAGGGAAAAAAAAGTGCCGTACATGGACTTACACAAGTTTTCATTGTGGTTGTTGCTGAGAATATTCGATTTTGAACATGTCTCCATTTTGACCAGCCCGGGGCAAGTATAAAGACTTTTGGACAAATTTGCACAGGCTTCTAGAACTACCGGTACCTTAATGTATTTGAGAATGTTACAGGTGGATAACAAGCTGACGTAATTTGTCTAGAGACTCATCTACATGTACAATGTACCAGTAGTACGGTACATTGGTATTAATTTGCCTGCATGTTCGGCTTGGGTCTTTGAAAAGGGTGAATATGGCACGTTGCCTGTAGGGTTACTTAGAGAATGTGTTAAGCAAGCAGCCTGCTGTACTGTCACTTGATATGGCTGCCTCTCGAGTGTCTTTGATGTCTGTAGTTGATATTCAAGACATGATGCATGTACAGTCTGGGCTTTGTGGAGATGTGGTCCCCAGGACCCAGCTACATACTGTAGTTGAGAGAAATATCTAATCCACCTAATGTTTTGATGTGAGGTGTCAGGGAAAAGATTGGTTGATAACCCGAAGCTCAAACTTGCATCTTACAAGTATTAATGACACTGTTGTTGCTTGTCATAGTTCTGGATGCATTGAGAGTGAGAGTGGCTATTAGGTGATTGGCAATCGCACAACTTTGTACTGATCAAGAAATGTCTCCTGACGTGGTAATCTACCAAACCATGCACCGGTATTGTACCGGTATCACGAATTACATGTACTTGCACAACATTGATATACATGTACATTGCACATGGATCTTAACATCAAGGTATCGATCACTACCAAGTTTCAAATTTAGAACTTGGAGAACACGTTGTACTCAAACCTTTCTGTTATGCACCAGTATAGAACACTTTTAGGGCGCCATCAAATTACACACGCATACCAATATATCCCAATCTAAATTGGATTTCTTTTCACTCACCCAAATGATCGGTGACACTAGATATTGTGCGAGCACAAGAAAACGTGATACCAAAGCAGCTCTGCCTGTTACAAGAATGTGCCCCGATCGCTAACTCTGGATCGGGTTGTACTGAAATCGTACGGCATGTCGCCCCCGGAACTTGTGCAAATTGTCAGGTCATCTGTCTGGCCTCCAAGCCACATTTTTTCCTTTTCTGTTTTTTCAAACTGTCGATTTATTGCTGTCTTGGGGGAAAGCATGCGTACGTGTCAGACCTTGTGAAAGTTGCTCGTTGTTGCACAAGCAATTTTCCTCGCGGCATAGCAAGAGGGATCTTTCTTATTGGAAAGTTTCAATCACAAATTAAATAGAGTCATCAGGTCAGACTTATTTTCCCATGTAAAGCCAGACACATATATGTAACATTCAGCTTGGGTTTGGAGCAAAAAGGTATCCTGATTTCATTTTCCACAGTGACTTCTCGGCTACATGTAGCTTCAAGTATGGTGGTAAGGATGGCTATCGTCATTCATCATGTATGAACGATGTCATATGCAGGGGTACAACATTGCTAAGCAGTTGAATTTATGCTAAATAAAATCAAGCTGAGTTTCAGCCACAGGCAGTATGCATTGTAGCACATTTTGGCAGGTAGCCAAGGTTTTTTCCTGCTGAGCAGATACTTCGTTCTCCTTGCATATTAACATCAGCTCTATCATTGGCAGTACACGTACATGTACTTGGGCTGAATTACATTCTATATTGGAATTTCCATTTTTCTCCTGCAGGCCATGCAGTGGAACCCTATAGATGCCGGCCCCGCCTAACCATGGACAACGAGCTTCCCCGTCAGGAACTGGTCAAGTGCGTAGTGGTAGGAGACAGCTCCACGGGCAAGACGCGCCTGATCGTTGCCCGGGCGACCAAGCGGGCCATGACCCGGGCTCAGCTCTTCCAGACTCACAAGCCTTCTGTCTGGGCCATTGATCAGTATCACCGCTGCCAAGAGGTGGGTCTAGGTCCTGGGTTTAGAAGTCATGGGAGGTTGGATTGGTTGAGCCAGGTGATACCGGTATATCATAATCACCAAGAATCACATTGGAGGATCAAAGGTCGTAGGAGGTCACTATAGGGTCAGGGCCATTGATGTATCATCACTACTAAGTAATGGATCATGGGGTCAGAGGTCATAGGGTTAAGGGGGGTCATAGGCACTCATCATCAGCTGGATGTGGGTTACAAGGTCAGAAATCATTGGAGGTTATGGGGTCAAGACGAGTGGTCAGTGTCACCACTACCATGAGTGGTCATGGGGTCAAATTGAGGTTAACTATGGTAAGATATCTTAAATTACATTGTATAATAAGCACTGTAACATTCATTGCTCTCTCAGAGCTTGAGAGAAAAGATTTGCATTACTCCCAGGAGGAGATTTGACCAAATCCACCACTTCTGGCACACCAGTGCAGACTTGCCAAGAACTTAACTGTCAGTGAGATTGACGGGATAAGCTACACGACCAATCAAAATCTGACATACGCATGTACAGCATTGGTATGTACATGTACATGTACAGTATGATCTATAACATTGGTACTACAATCGGTACAGTTACTCATGATCCAGTCTAATGGTGTCAGGAATGTCAGTTTGGATATTGGCTTGTAATATTAAGATCTGTCAAATGACTGTAGGGGGAACATGATGAACTACCAATAACTTGGGGACTTTTTATTTCATTGCTTTCCTTTTTCATCACAGGGAAATAATGGAGATGACGGGGATTAGTGAGAAGGAAAGAATGACCAAAGCCAGTGTTAATTTTTTTCACCACTCACATGTAGATCTCTTGACCCAGAGATGGCTGGCCAGTAGCTGTACTGTAAACACTTGGATATGGTATATTACTTCAGAGCCAGGAGCTATCAGCAGAGCTTGTACTTGTCCAGACCAACTGAGCTTGTTTTATACCAGTTGTTCAGGATACAGTCTGTCCATGTACCTTTTCTACTGTACAGGCACAAGATGTTTTTGCTGGGGAAAGTCACAACAACAAAATTCGTGATGTGTTTACGTCTGTGTCATCGCTCAAGCCCATTCATATGTCATTGGGGCCCCGCTGTGATCAGATTAGCAGGTCTGGCGCTGCAGTGCTGGACTTACAATCGAATTGTGTCCCCCCCCCAACATGTGTTATATCTCGGCTCTCTGACTTTGTTTGGGTGTGTTTTTGTTTTCATTCCATCATTTTTTTTAACTCTCTAGGTGCTGGAGAACTCTTGGGAGGTGATAGATGGAGTCAGCGTGTCGCTGCGACTGTGGGACACATTTGGCGACCACGAGAAGGACCGGCGCTTTGCCTATGGCAGGTTGGTTGGCTCTTGCGTTTCATTACTGACCCAGATGCATAAATTAAATTTCTTTAACCTAGCGTCAATGCAGAAACAAGTCACAACAGGACTTTCTTTATATGATCTTGCGTGATACTTGTTCATGCTATCCGCTGATGTTCCTTGTGTAAAAGTTCGCCCAAGCAATATTGCCACTTCTGTGACACCAAATTTGGTCTTGCATGTACAGTATGTGTGAAACCACTGTTATTCCACTGGTGTAAGTATGATTGACGCTGCTGCTTGATTCAGCAACTGCATTTATGTCATATGTATTGGTATTTATGTTCAGGTTTTGATGACTGACAAAGGTTTTGGCAGGTGTATATAACATAAAGGGAAATGCTCAAAGCCTCCCTCATAATCATCTTGTCACTTGATTAAACATGGAAGATGAGGATACCTCTTGATGGATAAACCAGGGCGGGTACCTGTATGTGCAGAGGGAATTGAGGTCAGGGCAAGGCCATTGGTGCTTGGCACAGCTTTCCTGTCGGGGCTGGCTTTGCCTTGGTGAAATGGAGTTACCATCTGTCCGTTCATCAGCCCAAGGAATTGTCTAGACAAGTTGTCCTACTGGTACCATTAACCCTAATTCCAAGAGCATGTGAAAAGGCACTTTGACATTGGAGAATTGGACACTGTTGGGGTTAATGGGAGAGTATAGAGGTCAAGCAGCTTAACATTCCAGAGATGTGACCCAAAAAATGGGGACCTGCAATGGCTACACAGCTCCTGTGATGTCATTGGTCATTTGGGAGTGCACTGTCATAGTTCCAACTTCCCTCTAGTGTGATTAAATGCTGAAGTCATCATATACAGTGTTTTGAGAATTCAGGGCATGCTGTAAGCACACTTGTAAATACTTGAATGAAGTATTTACCCCTCCCTTGGCATTAGAGTGCCAAATTTCATCTTTAACAAAAGCAGCTGGAAAAACCGGTGTGCATTCCACTCACATGTACCGTACAATTGTCAGTGTTCTCAGTCTTTCTGTGCATCTCCAATGGAAAACTGCCCAGGGCTATTGACCGTGTTTGGATGAGTATGCTGGATTTTGGAGAATCTAGACCAATTGGGGTTAAAACTTCAGAAATCCTCCAAGTTTGGGCCTATACATGCAGTCGGAGCGACAGGTACGGGTACTTGACAAGTAGAAGCAGCTTTTATTGTTGTCCAGTGAGGTCAAGGGCTCAGGGTTCCCCCCCCAATTAACCTTTCATGTACATGTACCCGGTACATGTACATGTGTATACCGGTCTAGATTGATTCCTCTTCCTGAATTTCGCCGCGCGCTTCCTGGCCATTAATGACTGACCATTTGGCTAGAGGACCCCTGCAGGTTCCTGTTTTTCCAGGGTTAGGTAAGTTGCCGGCAAAAAGGAATGGATACAGTAACTGGGCTTTTTTTTTTACACACTCACCATTGAACCTGTAGGTCGCATCCTGTCCAAACAGAACCCAGGATATTTGTGACAGGTATCAGACTGGACGTAGTTCAGTTTGGGTTGACTCAGTGGAAGTGTTCAATTTCTACCCGGTTCCTGTTCACGTTCGGCATGGCAGTTTTTGGTGGCACCTGCCTGAAGCTGTCAAAATCAAGATGGCTGCGCAGTAGCAAAGCGACAGGTTTTTCATAAAGAGCTTAAGCCCTACATGCAGCAGTGGGCCTGCGTGCTCTTGACAGCTGTCTGAATCCATCATACTCCATCAGAAAGACTTGGTACCTTTAGTCCCCGCAATTCATTTCCATCATGAATGTCCAAGTAGATGTTGGATTTTGGTGGATATTTTGTCCCAAATGCTGGTTGAAACCAAGCCTGACCAACAACAGTGGCTAATTCCACAGCAGTGCTGTGCAGGTTGCATTGTTCTGATTGCATAAACCTGTAAACAGTTAAAAAGATTAGTGACCTATCCGCCGACAAAAGACAGACTGGTACGAAGTTTTCCAACCAGATTCTCGCATGTGTTTGGCATGTGCACAAAGACCATGTACATTCCAGTATAAATTCATTGCGCGCACTCGGCATGCTCCGCATCAAAGGCGCATTAACTTGCACGCCTAAGCAGTGAGTTCATCCCAAAGGACAGTCTACACGTATTTCATTTAAAAACATGCCCTCATTTGTTCCCATTCGGAGCGGATAGAATATTTCATAGCCTAAAGGTGTTGCTTATGCATGAAAATGTATCAACTGTACATACACAGTATGGTTTTTACTGACATCAAGCATATTGCAAGAGCCTCTTTGGTCTGGCATTCTTTGTCAGATTGGGCGTCAGGAACAGAAGGTGGTATGGCTATGCACCATGATGCATCAATTGGTGGCAATACAAGCCACATCGTCAAAATAGCTTTTATCAAAGTGGGTATTACTTTCACATGTAGGATTATGGGAGATGTGTTACACATGTATAGTGTAGCTCAGTTATTGTTTTTTAATTTGTTTAAATGTCCTCTGAATTGAAGATCTCGTATTCTTTGTTGTTTCCATGTCTTTTTGAAATGGATGGGGATTTTGTTGATTGGCATGAAGACAGCAAATATAGCATTTTTATTTTCTATTATAAATCTATAGACATCAAACAAAGTAAAAGGGACTGTCAACTAGACCAGCCATATTTGAATGTTGCAAGATTGTGGATGGTGCTTCAGTGCACAAGTTAATTGTGCACCCGCTCCTGTGTTTGTTCCCAAAGTCACACCTGTTCCCTGTTTGTTTTTTTAAACTCCCCGCAGAGCTGACGTTGTCCTCTTGCTCTTCTCGGTTGCCGATGCCGTCTCCCTCCACAACACCACCCGTGTTTGGCTACCAGAGATTCGCCACTTCTGCCCGCGCGCTCCCATCATCCTGTGTGGCACGAAGAACGACCTGCGCTACGCCGACCTAGAAGCCCTGCTCAAGGAACGAGGGCCCGTCAGGTAAACAGTGAAAAAGCCAGAGGCACTGTTGCCCATAAGGGGACTGTTTGCCAAGCAGCAGAAGTATTTCCCGAGCAGAAATTGGTAACCGGCCCACAAAAACCCAATTCGCTGGTTTTCTGCATATTTTATGCTTAGCTTATACATGTGAATCTGCTTAGAAGCAATCTCTGCGTAGGAACTCCAGAAAAATTTGGGCCAGAAATGGGAGATTCAGAAGCGTTAGGAGTTTGATGTTTTTAGCCTAAATTCCACGTAAAAGTCCAGAAAAAAGTAAATTGTAGCTCGTGGCTAGGGCCATGTCCAAATTTACTGCCTGTGGCTCAGAGTAACACAACGTCTATTGGAAGTGGCTGTAGTCGCGAGCCAATGGTTTCCCAAAGGCACGCATCTTATTCCCAGCCACAGCCATAACATTCAACTGCAGCCTTTCACTAGTCACTGAAGTTGAGGTCACAGGCCAATTTTGTGGAGCCATTAATCTCAGAACCCTTCCAGAGCACAGAAACAGTATGAATAGAAAAAAACAGTTTATCCGCCACTTGCAAAATTTCATATTTGGCTTTCCGCTGTTAGGTCTCTAACTTTGCTTAACACACAATATTTGTGGGTTGACAAGTCACTTATTGAAAAATTTTGCTGATAAATTCTTTGTTTTGGAATCCACAATTTTAAGCTCCGTTTGTACACGTATGTGTAATAAATTAAACAAACAGTTCAACGTTTCACTTTAACATTCATAAAAATGTACCTCCACCCGTAATACATGTCCAGCTAGCCACCAGATGTTTCTTTTGTGTACATGTAAGTGCTTTCACTTGCATTCAAACGGTTACTGAAACTCCCAAACCATGTTAGCTAAGAGAGGGCTTTGTAGTTATTCAGTTGCTCATCTCAGCTTTCTTTTTAATTTGCCATTGCTAACATTTGAGCAGATGGTACACCAGTAAAAGTCAGGAGAGCAAAATACCAAAGTAATAGAAGGATAAAATTTGTTGGTCAGGCAAGTGGAAGGAAAACGTGAACCTTGTTTTGCCTTGCCCGGCTTTCTTTGGAGGACAGTCACAACAAAAGTGAGACATGGGGATCTAATATCATTTAAATGGTTGAGCTTGGACACAGTGGACTGCAGATTCCTTGACAGCAACCACACCAACTTCTTACACATTTGCAAAATGCATTTTTGAAATCCTCTTTGGAAGTACAGTCATAACTGACAAGAGTTTAAGTTATGTTTTTGCCTTCCTAGATAGTAACGAGTTGTGTACCATCGATAAGATTAGTGTCATTTCTATATTCAGTCTTGCCTTCATGTCTAGAAGCGTCATTAAAAGTCGAAAATCATATACATGTATGTACATGTATAAAGCCATACTTGTATCCAGGATCACAAATGTTATGTATAAAAATTCTCCTTGGACCTTTTCTTGCTTGCAGCCACCAGTGCACCAGGCACCGACCTTTTGACCCCAAAGGGATAGTTTCCCCCTCGGAGGGCAGGCTCATTGCCAAGGAGATCAACGCCTTCTATTACGAGTCCAGTGCCTACACACTGTATGGCGTGGATGAGGTGTTCGACAACGTGGTCCGGGCAGCCCTGATCGCCAGGCGACATCACCGCTTCTGGCAGTCCAACCTTAAGAAGGTAAATTGTCAAGGCAATCATTCTGCACATGCTTGCCACTAGATTATGGGGACTACAGATGCGTTTAAATGTAGATGTTATGAGGACCAGAGATTTTACAAGGACAATTTTTTTTTGTCCCCACAAAACAATTCCAACTATGCCTACAACAGATATTGTCTCCATAACGCGTGCAAGGCCCGCTATAAAGCAAAGCAGTCATAATATACAAATAGTGCCATGGGCTGTGTGAGAAATGGATTGGCAAAGCTTAGGTTACAATTACTGTCAAATTATGCCCGCATATTTCCTACTGGTAAAGCCCCAGACCTGGTTCTGGACTTCAGACATAATGGAGGGTGCCTGACAAGCCTTTACCTTTAACCCTACTTGAAGGGTAACCGTATATTGCAGTTGTCATGCCTATTCATTGATTCACCATTTCACCAATGTTGCGTTTCTGTGGTGGAGGAATGCCATGCCATGCCACTGAAGACGGCCAAAGCCTCGCTTGCCAAGAGAGCCTTATATTGGCAAGGAAATCAACTGGATGAACATTAATCAGACATATGCTGCTTTGCTGTTTTGGCTGTTATCTTGTCTATGCTGAGCATTTCCCATGCTAAACGACATTGTGCACTTTGCAGTCCCTTATTTGCACAGTCCAAACCCACAAAATTTCTCGCATTTGCCCTTTGAAATCTGCTCATGTTGTAAGTTAATACCTTGTTGAATGTAAAACGTGCAAAAAATGAAATGCACTTTGAGCTACAGTACAGATGCCTGAAAAAAGGTTGGCGCCACCAACAGGTTGCCACAGAGATGCCTTTTTCACAGTGCGTTGTGGGGAAACGGTTAACAAAATTCTATTCACCAGCTGTGCTGTGCGGGGGGAATTTAAGTTGTTGCCGATGTCCTTGTGTCGGGGTTGAAGATTCGAAAGTATTGTTTGAGTGTTGGTGTTAGTTAATCAAGGTGGTTGTTTTTTGGGAAGCAAAGAATGCCACAATTACTAAAAAATTTCTTCAAGTTGTTGACTGACGTTTGCTCCAATGCAAACTTTGGCAAGTCAGCCATGTTTTTGTCGACCGTAAACTTGAAAACTGACCTCTCTGTGGCAACCTCTCGGTGGCATGGTGTATTTTTAATCGCCTTTTATTCCACCTCCTCAGGTTCAGAGTCCCCTCCCTCAAGCCCCCTACTTGCCCCCCTGCCCCAGCGAGCCACGTATCGTGGTGCCGCCGTCCACCTACAATAACGACATCTCCAGTCTGTTGAAGGACCTGACGTGCGCGGACGTGACCTTCGTGGTTCAGGGTGAATACATTCACGCTCATAAGGTAACCAGTTCGATGTTCACTGGATTTATCAGGTTTCATTCATGTTCTCATTCAATTCATTGATCGTGGCATGGTACAGTATCTTCTTCTCTTGACTAAGGCCTTCAGATAGATCTTTCACACTTTAAATCAATGACGAACCCTCAGCATTTTCACCCTCATAAGATCCATTTCCATCAGGATGCTAAACTGAGTGATACATCAAAACAAGGAGCTCAGTTTGCTCTTTTTAATTGCAAGTCAAGAGATGATTAACAAAGGGCTTGAAGACTCATATTGTGGGAGCCTGTTTTAAGTAGTGCCATGGCAAAGTCAGTCATGTATCAGTGCCTTTGTTGATTTTAAGATGGCATATTAAAACTTTTGAATTGCTGGCTTTTGGGGCTATTGCCAATGGGAGCAGCTTGTCCTAACATCCTAAAATGTGAAATGCTCACTGAATGTTCCATCCGCTCCCACCATTTACCACTGAGTTGTTGTTTCTTCCAAGGTGTGCCTCATAGCAGCCTCATCCGTCTTCCACGATCTCTTTATGTTGGACCTCTCGGACCAGCTGGACAGTTCATCATCCTCCCAGGATCCAGAAGGGCAGTCCTATGACCCTGGCCAGCAGCAGCACTGGTCCAGCCCCGTGCCCGTGCCCCAGCAGCACATGTCCACCTCGCCGGACATCATCGAGACCCCTCCCGACAACTCAGAGCATCACCGCCTCCCTCAAGCCCACCCGCACCACCAGCGAAGCAACTGCGACAGAGACCACACCTCCTTGCTGGAGGATGGCTGCCTGAGTTTTTCGCCTAACGGCAACACCTGCCTGATCTCGGTCCGCCCCAAGACCAGGGCCCTACCCACCGGGGAGACGCCATCCCCACCCCAGCTCTCGGACCCGTCGGATTTCGAGGACTCCATTGAGGGGGACGAGGGCTTGACCAGCCTGACCGTAGTGCCTGCCAGCCTGCGCTACCTCCCCAGCAAGGTCCTGAGCCACCCGGCCTTCCACTCCATCCACCTGCAACAGGCCGAGGACCCCATCACGGGCCGGCCCAAGCTACGCAGCGTGGTGGTGCTGAACTACAAGATCACGCCCGAGGCCTTCCGTGCCGTGCTGGGGTTCCTGTACCTTGGTTCCCTCAGCCCCGAGAAGTACACCAACCTGAGCGACGTGATCACGGCGGCCTCACTGCTGGACCTATCCGACTTGGTGTCAGCCATCGCAAACATAAAGCATCAGGAAGAGTACATGAATCTGGAGATTGCTGAAGCCTTCTTGGAGAATCGGAGAGACCGATTCAGGGAGCTGTTTGCAGACAAAGGATTCCTCTCAGGTATTCCCTACATTATCATTTCAGAGATGAATGGATAAAGGTCGTAAACAAACCCTGTGATGATCAATTTCATGGGTGCAGATGCAATATCTCTCAAATGACGGTTTTCCAAATTTCATTCTCAGCATTGTCTCTATCTCTGGCTTCTACCTTTGGAGTTTCTTAGCTCAACAAAAAGTCATATGCTACCAAGGGAACATAGAGCTGTATTGCCGTCGAGCGAGATACACGTATTTTCCTCAAGTTCCTGAGTACATACCTACAAGTGGTTTCAGTGTCGGAGATGAAGCCTGAGACAGATTGAGCTTCTCATGAAGTCATAATGCGGTTGAAATCAGTAACTGATGCATTGTTTTCCATTGCACTGGAGCCAGTCTTATTGTGTCAAAACTATAATATATAATCAGTTCTTTGAATTATGTAATTGCCAAGCTTTCGGTATCTGGGTACCTTTGTCAGGGCAAGCAGATTCAGTCTGCTGAAATTCCGATCATGGTGCTACGCAGCCCTTTCATATTTCTCTTATTGTGTCAAGCTTGGCCAAGAGGTGCGCTCGAAATGTGCATGCTTGTGTACATACATCACAGGCTGAGCAGAGCCAGGGGTGGCTTAGACAAGACATAACGTACTGGTTAACATTGATAGCTGCTGTGTGTGTCTGCCCAGATATGGTGATCAAGTTGGACGACGGTGCCGTGGTGACCCACCGGAGCCTGCTGATGGTGCGCTGCGACCCTATGCTTGCCATGTTAAGCAGGCACTTCAAGGAGCGACCCTGCCAAGAGGTGAGTGACCCAAGCCGTCCTGGGCGCCAGTGTCATCACCAAACTTGCTCAGCAATACGGACCTGCTCAGCATGATGGATGTACTGAACAAAGATTTGGTTGAGAGCCAGTGATGAGGAATATGCATATCACACTGAATTGGCTAGTTACCCGATTTTTACTAAGTAACTTTTCATCTGTGCTGAGTGGTTCCCTGACATCTGGTTCTCATCTCTCTTTATTTGCCTCTCACTTTGATTGGTCCGGTTACTTAATTGAACTAAGTGGTTCCCTGACCTGAAGTCCTCAGCTTAATTTCACTGTGCCGTAAGTAACCTTTTCTGTACCTCTTAGGAAGCATTTCAGAATGTTCCTGATCTGAAAGGAATTCGTGGAACGCAGTGTGTTCAATACAGGAATTCACAGTGTTCCCATTAGGAACGCACTGTTCACAAGTTAGCTTGGATGCACGTAGACCTGTTTTCCCAGGATTCTAGAATAATCAAGAGTATGTGTTCTTCTAAAGAGGAACAAAAGTGCTCCCAATCAGAGCGAGCACTGTTCTCATTGGCTTGTTCTTTGTCATGCCAACGTTTGAGACATTCTCTTAATGTAACGGCAAATCACTGCACAAGGTAGAATTGTGACAGGACAACAGCCAGTGAAATCACAGAAGTAATCAGACCGTTGCTCACCTTAACTCAGTGAGGTCAGATAACCACGTCTACCACAACCAGTGAAATTGCAGAGCATATGAGGGATGTGGTCAAACCTCATTTAGTGAGGTCTAGTTACTAGTCTACTACAACCAGTGACATTTCCGAACTTGTGGGGCCAGGTCAGATCATCAGTCTACTAGCCCCTCAACCCCTCACATGTGACCTTTCCACGTACAGGTCATCCTGCAGGGATTCAGGAAGAGTACCTTCAAGGCGGTGCTGGTCTACCTGTACACGGACCAGTGCCCGGAGCAGCTGACCCGCAGCGAGATGCTGTCCGTCATCGAGCTGGCCAACTTCCTGTGCCTGCCCCGCCTGGTGGCGCTGGCCGAGCAGTGCCTGGTGCTCAGCTTCCGGGAGGAGGCGGCCGAAAAGGACGGGGACATCGGGGAGAACGTTTCCCACCTGCTGGATACGTGCAAGGTATGACATACCACAGTAGCAGTGTATCCCCTGTGGTTAATGAGTGCACAGCACCTTTAGGATGGATTATTGATGGTATCTTCCCGTAGTACTGGAAGTTGACAAATTATTTCCCCGGTGAACTTCATGATCCAAAATATGGGACCACAACCATTTAGACTCGGTTTGAAAAGGAACCCCAGTACCTAGGAAGGTTTAAAGTGCATCCCGTATTGAGCAAGAGGTCACCAGCACCGTTTTTCTATTTTCAACTTCGTCTCTGTCTCAGGCTTTATATTTTTTTTTTAACCACCTGACTTTGAAGTTGTCAACGTAATAGTCTGACAGGGCCACAGGAACATCAAGGAAGATGCAAAAGAACAAAACATTACAGTACTTCAATTTAATCTGAATGCTTCAGGCTTACATACAATTTTGGAGTCAAAGCCTGAGATGGAGACAAAGTTAATTATTAGAAAAATGGCCCCGGTACCAGACCTGTACGATCCAAAGTTTTAAAAAGGCTCACAGTACGCTCCTTTCACCCTTCCCTCCTCCTTCAGGTACACAACGCCAACCAGCTCTACCACTGGTGCATCCACCACATGGCCATCCACTACGACGCCATCAGCAAGAAGCACCCACGCCTGCTTCGCGACATCAGCCAGGAGGCGTGCAAGGAGATCCACTGCCAGCGGTGGCCGCCGCTCTACTACCTGAACGAGATCGAGGAGTACGAGCAGCAGCAGCGGGAGAAGAAGCGGCTGGCCGACCGCAGCAAGAAACACAAATGGTGTCTCAAGTGAGGATGACGCGCATCCCCACCCTCTCCACTGCAGGACGTCTTTTTTTCCGCACATCGCTCGGGCATCATCTGATAATGTCTCCACCGTATTAAAGTCTGTAAAGTCATTGGCTACATTTTGGTGTATTACGGTCCTGAGCCTACAAACAGCAGGAGTCAGGCCCATGGGTAAGCGAGAGCATACCTGTAGTCTGGATCAGTCTGGGAACACACCTCTACATCGCGCAGTTATTTCAGGATGGCAGAAAGTAAATGCTTAGGGCCTGTTTGTTTCACACTGATTTGGATCACGATCAGTGATCCCATATATTAGGTAGGTTCTGTTGTAAGTGAACCAACATTAGATCACTGATCACGATCCGAATCCGCATGAAATGTACAGGACCACAGTTGATCACTTGATGTGATTGGAGAGCATTAGCTCATGCAAATATTTTCCTGCACCCGTGAGTATGAAGAGTAGCCCACATAAACGCAGCCTTAGATTTCTCACTTTGTCTTGAGTGGTTTGAGGATCTGTGCTTAGAGAGGGTCGCGGATTAAGGTCAGTTTATGACGCCATTTTGTGTCCATAGTGGTGGCTTGTGGTATGTAGCATTGCACTGATCAATCAGGAAAATGAGAAATGAAAGACAAATGTTGAAGGATTGATTGTTTCGTATGCAGAATGCACACTTGTCTGTGGATGCACGGCTGACTTTATGACCAAAATGGCTTCCAGTCTAAAGTTGTCGCAACTCTTTCCATGCACGTCTTCATTGATTCAGAATACATGTTGCCTGCTCAGAGGTTACCATAGCCTGATGGGAAGAGACAGATCAGATCGATCACTGCAGATGAGATTGATAACTGCCGATCAGATTTTATTTTGGCTGCCAATCTGGTCTTGTAAAAGCTTGAAATAAAAGAAAAAATTCTTTGACTTATAAACACCAATATGCTAAATTGGCCTTATCAAGTCTAACAAACTATATAGGCCAGGGCGGACATCCAGGACATTCACAAAATCATGGGTAGCAACCACACCGCACCGATGGAAACAACTGCAATGAGCACGCGCATACGTACCGATCAAAGAAAAGATTGAGTAGCTTGATCCTCTGACTGGCTGGTTAGTGCGTGTCACCATGGTCGCTGTTGTTTTCACCAGCATGGTGTGGTTGCTACCCACCATTAACCACTTCCTGCCAGGGATTCCGGTACCGGAAACGTATTCTTTGTATGCATGGCTTTGGTCTCCAAATTGGACAAAGGGAACTGGGCCTTGTAACAAAAGACCGTACTCGGAACAAAAGACCAGGCTGCTGGGAATTACCGACATTTTTTCACTCTCAATAGTGGAGATAATCCAGCCTTGTTTTGAAACAGTATACCACGGTTTTGGGCATTTAGTGCGAGTGGATTACCACTGGGGATAAAAGCGCTTCACCACTGCAGCGATGAGCCACACAGTACTGCTGCACGCTAATCTGGCCCCTATTGAAAAGAGGTCAGCAGCACACTGTGCCAGGTTTGTGAACGAAAGAAAGTTACATAACACCGCTCAATCTGGGCTCTTTTTTACAAGGCGGCAGGCCTGGCTGAAATACTCCAGCATCAATAGATGTTGTCTGTCAGGTTAGAGTGGAAACCAGACAGTCCTTCTTGTGGGTGTAAGTGTCCAGTAAGTGAAGATGGAATTTTTGAAAATTTTGAAAATAGAAAAAAATGATAAATATCCCGCCCCAGTATCATGAACATTGATAACTGCCACTGGCGCGAAGTGGTTAAGCGAAATTGCCGGATGTCCACCCTTGCCTATTCCCGTCATTGTTTGAATTACTGGCTGATTTCAAATCGGACTTACAGTTTATCTTTTACTTTGCTGCCAAATTTCATTCCATATATCTTTCCAGATCTGGAACAGCTTTAAAAGATAAACGAATAGATTCTTGCGTTAAAACCGTTGCAATGCATTGTACTTAGGTGTTATTCATATCTCATTGGTGGTGAATATGCTTTGCCAAAAAAGTAACATTTCCGTGCATGGACTCATGGAAACGTTAGTGACGATATTTATATTGTGCTGTTACCCTTCATGAGAGACACTTTGCTAATGTTGTGTTCTTTCACAGCCGAGTTTTAAACAACCCAGCCATGCAGAAAGTCATATTAACGCTCTTTCTTCGAAAGAACATGTATGACATAAAAGCTGTCCAGAGAAATTGATATTTATGCCAGGTTAGATGGCAGCCACATTGAACGATCGGATCTCGTTCAGGCCTCTTTGTATCTACAGAAGAAAAATGGCCAAACTGGAGGGTACATTGAATTTGGCTCCTTTATGTTTATGTAAATGAACTTGTGAATAAACATTTGCTTGTTAATTTATTTCTGCAGAGGTTAGAATGTACGATTTAATACAGGCCATGGTCTGAAAAGGGGGCCACAGTGTTAAAAATGAAAAACTAAAATTGTTACTGATCTCGTTTTTCTGAATGGCAGCTCACAGCTCTTGATTTTGTTGACATAGTATTGTACGTCTGCTAGAAAATAAGAGGGGAATTTCACATCTACGCAATCACGGTTGAATGCTTTTCATTCAGATGACTGGGATTCAGTTTGGTCTGAAACAATATCTTTTATGGTTCCAAAACAAAATTTTGACTGAGCATGGATATTTGCTTTAAAGTAAGAAGTGTTGTGAATGTTCAGCATAAGCCTTGAGGCTTTTGAAATGATGCTCAGGATGAGATGCAGAGTCACTTTGATTCAATGTACAGTGGCCAGTAACCTGATTGCCACTTTTCCAACAAATTCCATTATCTAACCTGTATTTTCTAGGGCTTATGTGCCCAGGACCCACCTTGAATTCCTCCAAAATCTGTCACTTTGCAGGAGACCATTTTTGCAGTCATGCCATGTCGTTCCTGGAACATAACAGTGGCTGAACCCTACCTCCCTTCGGTCCTTGGGAATCCTTCTCGTTAGGCTGGGAACTCAAATATGAAGGAAAGTCTGATTTGCACAAGACTCATTCACTAGGTTTTTTCCATTTTGGAATGCTGCATGTGAGAGGTTGAAAAATGAATCGGCTGATCTGAGACGAGGTCACATGCCTTTGCCATGTCTTTGGGGAAGGCTCTGGGAATGTTTGGGTTGAAACGATGACCAGATGCGAGTGACAATCTCTCAGCAACTGGTCATTATAATGCTTGTTCAGAAATTAAGTCACTTTGCTGAGCCGTAGTTCTCACTCAGATATGCCTGATTAGCAAGTGCACAGTGAAACCTCCACACCAAAATGTCACAAACGTATGATACCGGTGTGTGTCTCCATTGTCGCAAACATGACATTACGCCAGCTTTGTGCAAAGTGAATTTTGCAAAAGCTGACCATATGCTAACTTCAGGGGAGGTCACTGTGATAAACACTTCTCAGCGTTAAATTTGTGTCACTTTTGCATGACATTATGAACTGGCGGTCACAGAGAATTCATGTTTCTGGAATATTAAATTTTACAACAATATCGACTCGGGTGTGTATTTCTGTTACAGGGAATTGTCGTTTTCCCACTCAGATTATCCACATCCTGACTCCACACACAAAAAATAATGAGCCTAGCGTAGGGTTGTAGGAACATGTAAATAAACTGTGGTATTTCTTCTTGCCTGGTTGATTTTTGGATTACCAAATCTTGAGTGTGCTATTTGCCTTTAAAAGGTCCAAGTTTGTAATGGTGAACTCATGTTTAATGTTCAGACAATATTAAAATAATATATCGATGACTTACCCAGGCTGTACGCGGTAAACTGTCTCTGTGAGATGATTGGCCTGGCTTTGTAAAACTGTCAGAAGCAGAAATTGTGAGCTTCTTTTTTGTTTATGTATTTTGTTTATTTGTATTTGTTACATTGCATGTGTAAATAAAAAAATAATAAACAGAGACGAATGATCATTTTTTGCAATACAGAATTGAAAGAACTTTCTTTGACAGGTCTTCTTTCTTTACGGAGGAAAATCTGCAGTGTGCCTGATTGGATGAAATTCATGAAAAAGTGGCCAATCAGACAAGCTCTTTGTCTGTTCAAAACTACACTGGCCAATTGAATTGTGTCAAAGTGAACACGATCAACTGTCCAGTAAGTATGAATTCTTGGCCACAGTTGGACAATCGGCACTTCGGAAAGATCAGTTTTATTAAATTTGTCTTGCCCACCAATTGTACATGATCCTCTATGATTAAAAACAAAACAAGGGCATATTTTTGTTACAAGATGTAACAAGTAAATAAAACTATTAAGATATCTGTGTTGGATCATTTCCAGCATGTACCAGGTGGAGGAATTACTTTTTGATAAATCACAGAACAAATATGTCAGAGTTAAGTATTGAAGTGCAGTGAGTATGTCTTGCAGATAATGCTGTGAAAGTTGAATGCTGCTAACAGAAGAAGCCATGGTTCATCGCTACCCCAAACTGAATTTTTTTTTCACAAATTGGCCCCAGTGGCAGAGCCCTGTAAGGATTTTCACCCATAAGAGGCAAAGTCCGAGTCGTTTTAACAAAGAGCTGTTCCAAGCTTCTACAGACCCCCTCCTGAGCACAAACGTTAGCTTGCTCATTGTAAGTTGGTTTTTCTGTGCATAGCAAATTGGCCCCAGATGTAGCATACACCCCTTCCTTTCCATTGGAACTAAAATGGAGCATTTTATTTCTGTGTTAATTAGTTTTCAAATCAGTTTGAAACGTTTCTCCTCTCTGCTATCCTTTACAACGGTCACCTCACTTTTTCGAATCAGGTGTTGCTAAAGTAATGTTGCTTCCATTGAAGATTTATTTTAATCTTTGAACAAGTTGAATAAGACTTTGAAATGCCTAGAGAAAATATCATTTATTAAATTAGTCAAAATCAGAAGCTAAAAAGAAATATATTAACACATTAAATTTCACTCTTTAGATTTAATAAACAAATAGTTATACTCCTAATGTTAGTCCCCTGAGCTATATGGTGCTTGTACTTGTGAGCGGGCCTTCTTCACATTAAGTTGACAGTAGAGGTTATGTGTTAATGTGTCCACAGAGGGTTTCACTGGGATAGGCTTGAGTAATGCTTTTGTGCATTGTTGCAATTGAATTACAGAAACAGCCCCTGAGACACAATAGAGATGCCAGCAAAATGCATAACCTGTATTTGTATTGTCACAAAAGCAGGGACCGAGTTATGAGGACAAAACTGTCCCCGTAATGTTTAAGTCCCCATGAAGTCTACATTTTAACGTGTGTGGTCTCCATAATCCAGCAACGAGCGTGTATTTACCAAATATTTACCAAAATATGAGTACACACTGTTGACAGCGTGAAGAAGTGCTCAATTTTTTTTTCTCTCATGAAAAATGAACCTCAACACAAATAAGCCATTTGCGAGTTAAATTTGAATAAAATCTGGTACACTGAGTTCTTTAAATTCATGTGAACATAACAACTTGAATTCTCCATACTAAAACCACTGTTGCTATACCTCGTGATTCGGGGCAAGCTTTTGCTTAGTTACATAAAGAGACGTCTTGCAACAATGCACTGTTCTCTGTGGATAAGAACGGTACAAAGGAACCAGTCCATTCCAGAGATGGTGATCGTTATGCAATAGCTTCCCCCGAATCACGAGGTACAGCAACAGTGTCTTCAGTCTGGGGAATTCAAATTGTTTTGTTTCTGTGCAATCAGATAACACAGTGTACCAGATTTTATTCAGATTTAACTCGCAAGTGTCTTATTCAAGAGCCCTAATCCCCTGCTGATTCCCTCCCCGAATTGTCACAAATTAAGTATGGAGCCATCGTTACAGTCCACAAAGTTATAGGGGCTTCAACAGATCTTCCACTGTACACACCTCACATCAAACAAACCCATCATCAGATATTGCCCATTGATGGGTAGTGTAAAAATTGGGCAGGGCCGGAGATCAGAGTAGACAGGAAAAGAAGTTTCTGCTCCATATTTTTCAACTCCAATAAGAAGCGAAACCTTCAATCATTGCCTTTCACTGCATCACTTTTGGACTTATTTGGGAAAACCTCTTTCTGTTTTTTCCTTGCAGTACGCTATATTCCACTCTGTTAGTCATTATGTACATAGTCATTTTAAAAGATAATAAAAGCATGGATGGAAAATAAAAGCTAATGCAGAAATAGTGGCCAAGCTCTCGAAAACATTTTTTGTACAACCAAATGAAGGGAAACATGCTTTTGATAGTAAACAGAAGGCTTAGAGTCACATTGTGAGTAGAAAAGTGAAGATGCTTAAATGATTACAGCAGTTAGGGCTTTTGTTTTTGTTTGTGAAATAAAACTACTTTTGGATTGTTTGTTTTTCATCGTTATAGTGCGGCATTTGCCCACCCATTCCAATCGCCACTCCCCCTCCATACATAATACACTTCTGGAGAAATACTGAGGATGTTACGAGGCTAAATGAAGTGTATTGAAAATAAAAAAGTGGATCAGGCCAACAAAGTTCTTTCAATGGACAATAAATAATCCGACTTTTTTTAGAGTCTTTGATCTACCATTCTTTGTCAAGAACATTATCTAGCTGTTAAATTCACAGTTTTAATAAATTTAAATAATCCGATTTTAGTTTGGCTATTTTCTTGGGGTTTCACGCTCTGATAATTTTGACACCTTCAATTTTGAATCATTATTTCCTAAAAGGGTTTTGGGGAGTGCCTGGCAGGTTCATCTCAGTTAATTGTTTTCCCCCGTTTTAATCCTTAACAGTGTATGACACAGCAAATTCCTCATAGATGACCCTAAAGTTTTTCAAAACTTAAACTCCAATTCTGACTTGTGATAATGATAGATATTTGTATACATTGTATGATTGTTTGTATTTTCTGTTTTTCCCCCTACATTTTAGTCCAAGCTCACTGATTGCGTGCCAAACAGTTGCTGTACGTACGATGGGCTCTTTTTTGTGCTGTAATTTTGTGCAATAGATGTGATTGGGTGGAAATAAAATTCGTAAAAAGCTAGTTGTAATTTGTGCTGGTGTCCCTCGTGTTCCGAAAATTGTCATGCTAGCTGTCGCACCAGCATGACAGGTGACCATGACTGAAACACGTTCACTGGCAGATAGGGAGGGGATACAGGAATCCCCTTTCCTCCCCTCCCCCAGCTTGGACAAAACAGTTATTTCCACTCCTTCCAAAAGTGTGTAAAAAGCCCCCAACATGTGGCCTCAACCCTCACAAGAGCCATGTTTTTAGAATATTACACAGACCTCCAAACATTTTGCTTCTCCTGACACCAACCTCCCCTCTGAAATTCAGTTCTCTGCCATCGAGCATTTAAGCCATCTTAAGTTGTGCTGAAATTAAATATTTCTAGTGCAAGTCATTCTTTTCGACTTTAAAAGGTGCCAGATACACCGCCTAAGTTTGCCCCCAGTCTCCAACTGGCACTTCATCTAGTCACTGGAGCACAACTGGTAGTTATAGGTGACCATCTAGTCACTGGAGCACTCCTGGTAGTTATTGGTGACCGTTCTTTGTGAATTCGGAGTTACTAAGTCACTTTCCACAACAGGTTGTGTATGCAAGAGGCCTGCCAAACACTGAAATATTCAAGCAAAGTTCTGAAACTCAACCAAGTAAACTGCTAAAGCTACTGGCGTTTAGATAAAATTTATCCAAAGAAATTGTGTTTGGGGGCTTTGTCAAAAGGAACTAGTAATTCTTGACAGAAGAGGAAAAGTGCAGTGTGTGATAAAATTTGTAACAACGTTTTGGGAGGGTGGCTGAGGTTGTTTGATCAAGTTCAAATCTTTCTGAGGGATTTTATCTCCCCCCCCCCGTCACAATGCGAAATTCTACAGCTGGGGCTCTCAACAATTACAACGTCACTACACATCAGCGTACATGTAGCCCATCATCTACAACAACATGGACCCAGCGGCCCTCCACACCGATTACGGTTGATACGATGGGAACGCAGGGAGAACAGCGCCGCGCCCTATATTTATAGCTGCTGGCGCTTCTAACAGCGCCATCTATTGCCAGCATCGGGGAAAGCTACTTGGTTCAAATCACGGAGGCTATTTTAATTGATCTTCCTCCCTTTGGAAAAGCACTCCTGTTGCCCATGGAGAGTGAATTGTTCCCTCTTGGACGTCACGACGGACTGAATTTTACCCTGAACTAGGAACACAGCGACAGAAAATAGTCATGAATCCTTTTTAATGTAGAAATTTTTAAGTTAGCATGTCGATTTGGAGCGAGTAAGTGATTATTTCAGTGGTGGGAGCGGCTTGCCGGTGAGGGAGGGCAAACGCCGTTGAGACAAACCGTCTGCATGCACTTGCAGACAAATGATTTTTATAGCCCGATTGAGCGCGATACCTACGGCTTATCGAAAGACCAACGGCACGAATTAGTCTGGTTCAAGAGAGCGCGCGATTGGGCTTGTATGAGCGTACATGCAGGATACCGCGTACCGCTGCTGTTTTGTGCCAATGCCGGAGACACAGATCGCGGCGAAATTGTGATTTTTAATTGCCTTTTCTGTGAGGATTTCTAACGCAAAAGTGGATATATTACAATCTGTGGTGAGTCAATAACCTTCTGAATTGGTGTGTAAAATTTCAAACTTTTATAAAGTTTACTTGGTAATTTTTTTCAGCTGCTAATGTTGAGTGTGTTTTCTGCGTTCAATCTGCATCATCCATTCGAAGGCAGACAGATGTGCAGGCGTGCCTCTGGTTTGAATTTTGTATAATCCAGCGCCTTTCCACCTGATCGCGCCTGGCAAGCTTTAGGTGACAGGCGAGACAAAATACCCACCTTATCTGACATCTTCGTGATCATGTTTTGCGCGGATGGTGTAATTTCATACCTGCAAGTGAAGCATAATCATAAAATGTGACAAATTATGGGTCGCGAGAGGAGGTGGAAATGACCTGGGCTGCATTGGTTTGAATTTGCTGCATGTTGAATGTATTGCCTTGGATTTATAGGTTAGTACATGTAGGCATGCTTAATGCTGGAGATTACTAAAAATTGGAGTGGATAGTGAGAAAAGCACATATTATAAATGGACTTTTAGTAATGTTCTGCTTAATCATACTTGTAAGCCAACATGTTGGCTAATATTACTGACCCATTTGTGAACAGAAATCTAGAAAACTGAAGATGGGCCTGTTTAGTGTTTGTACAGTGATGCACATGTGCTACTTATGACTGCCAAGTGAGTTTATGTCTGCGTAAAAATTAAGGAGCATGTCTTTTTCAGCGTCTTTTGTTGAGTTTTCAATATTTGCGCACTGATTTTTTTCCTTTAGCAGCTTTTGTGAAGAATGTAAAAATTTCAGTTGTAACATTCTGGGGATATTGCTAAGATTAAAAACTACATGTAAGTAAGCCTCAGCACATGTAAAATAGTAGTGGATTACGTTTGAAGTTTGGTCCTACCAGTATGTGCAGTAGTTCGATTCCCTGCAGACTCATTCTATGAGCTGCAGTCAGTAGGCAGTCGGGGCATCTAAAAATCACACGAAACAACTTTGTGCTAAATGCATCGTTGCATGGCATACATGGACGTGTGAGAGAGATTGCCTGCTTGCTGCTAATTTGGCATTCTGAGGATCAGGTTTAGGTATTTAGAGTTAAATGGCAAAAGCATAGATTGGAAAATGTCTTTTAAATTAAGGTCGAAGTATACATAGATTGGAAAATGTGTTAAACTAAGGTCAAAATATACATACATGTACATGTAGTACCACCACCTTCGGGAGGCAAGAGTTGACTACAGGTACTGTACATAAGGTCAAATGATCACATTTCTTAATGGTCAACTGATGTGCTTTGGGTCTGGCACTTTCGAATGTACTGTACATGTATATGTATGTAACTTGCATTTAGGCAAAAGTAGCCATCCAAGACACTGCAGGAGTCTGTTGTGTAGTAACAGACATCAAAATTGTGACAACATGTCATGCTCAAACATTTATCACAGCAGTTAATTTGTCTTTTTGAATGCAAGCAGTTGGTAACACCAAGTACTGTTCTGGATGACAAATGCAGCCCTTGATCGGGTTAGAAGTTCCAAACCCTCTTTGCCAGTGATTCACAGTGACATTGTTCAGCTCCCTGGGCATAATCTCATTTGCGCTTTGTGTGCGTACACATGTAGAGGTACATGTGTACACATGTAATGTACAGTTATGCATTCGGATTAGTGCCTTGAGCACTAACTGAATTGGAAAAAAGACTCACTTCACCGACTCATTGGTGAGGATTAGCTCAACCCTTACAATATGCAGGGTCACCACAAAATGGTAGCAGTGCTATAACAAGAATGCCAAATGTATGTTGACAGAAAAACCAATGGGAAGAAGTACCTCATGCATATATGCACAAATATTTTCTTCTTTTTTGTTTTAAGTGCCTCTAAAAGACCAGGCGTCCGTCTTTGACATTTATGTTAGTAATAGTTTGTGGTTGAAATACCCGTACTGTACAAAGTACCTGTACTTAAGTTAGTGCATAAAAATATCCTACAAATGCTGTGGACACTGCTGTTCATGTACAATTGCATAATGTACATGTTAGGTGTCCTCATTCTTGGAGTTGCCAATACATTCTAGACTGTGCGCAAACTGAGCCATTAATTGACATCAATGATTTTTATACTGATTGTACAGCAAAATGGCACTAGTAATTGGGCTGATTATAAAACTTTTAATTCATCTCCCCTCGGAAATTTGTGAGTCTAGTACTTGGCATGGTGTGCATTATTTCCCCCATCTCTCGTTCCACAGCCAACTTCTGAAAATTTTTACCTTCAGTTTTACATGTCAGCAGACAGTTATTAATACTTGTACCTCAATTTACAAGTTAAATGTAAACTGTTAAAATATTACTTTCAGATTTGGCAGCATTATATTGTATTTAGCATATTGCTTGTGTTAACCATTTTATTCCTCTGTATGTCAGGTATTCACAATTAAAAAAAAATCGTCAGAATGGCTCTTCCAATGATAAAAAGGATAAAAAAAAGGATAAAAACGGCAAATCTACATGTAGGCATAATCAGGCTGCATTCATGTACTGTACATGTATGTACCCATATGTATACAGTACATGTGTTCACTGCTGCCTCACGCACTTGCTCATGGCAGTACCCTTTAGTAGATGCTGCATATGCACACCGTCAAATGACTCATTGTGCGTGATTCATGTCTAACTGCCACCAGACATGACAACTGCACCCAGTGCCTCTGGCTCCATCCCAAGCTCCAAGGACCCTTTTTAGAAATTATAATTCAGCCTGGTCCAGGTCACTGAATGCAGAAGAAACAGGAACGTGCCATTTTGGCATCGGATAGAGCGTGGTCAGGTCTACCATGAACACGAGTGCACATTTTTCAAGTCGTGAAGAGTAAGTGCAGAGTGGTACGGGGCTCATGTACATAATCTAATCACGGCCCCAGAACACATTTTGTTTGAAAAATTGGCTACATGCCTGTAAAGTGGATTACTTTCCTCGTAAGTTAGTTATTCAGAATCAGATTAATCTTGATTTTTTTTGCGGGCCCCTGCGTACACATGGCGCATGCTTATGTGAAATAGAAGGGGAGCTACATGTATGCGTCTGAGCCCATTTGCTCCGATTGATGCTCAGTTCTCTGTTAAAGGCTGACAGTGAATCCGATTTTGAGTTGTTAAAATGTGCAGCTGCATTTTAAAATTCTTGAGTGATTTTTATTGGCTTAGAAGTTTAATAGGAATAGGTATTCATGCTCTCTAATTTTGCAAATTGTGACCTTACCTGAAAGAATAGACTTTGTTCATTGGTTGGCCATATTGGAATTGAAAGCAAAGTTACCTCTTCATTTCTAAAGTTCTAAAGGGAGGCTTGGTATGCATGGCAGTTATAAAACAGTCTGGTACCATTGTAATTGACAATTTGCAATTTGTGAAAGGGATTCAAAGAATGACCTCAAAAATGGCTTCCACGTGAATAACGTCTATTACATTTACTAGCTGCAGGCAAACCTCCTTAGTCAATTATTTACATGTTAAATTCTTTGTGAGTAAAATGAGAGGTTTCAAACTTGAGGCATTCAAACTTGGTAGCCTTAAAGACACCTAAACCTAGGCAGTTGAGAATTTGATCAGTGTCAAACCGTGGTCTAGGAGATGGGTGTTGAGGCAAGCGCCACCATGGCAACCAGACCCTCCTCCCCTTCACCGAGTTCACTTCTGTTTTTCAAACAACTTATGTGTGGTTAATGCTCTTTCCAGTTGGCTCTCAGTTTTCTTGAGCATCAATCTTCATTGGCTTGATGTATATTTTCTCTGATCACAATAAATATGAGTCATGCCCACTGACCTCAACAGCTTCTGGGGAGTCAACAGATCAAAAGAGTTTTATTGCAGCCAGTACATGTATCTGTTTCACGTGTGTACATTTTAAACAGTCCTTTCTAAACAAACTTTTTTCCCCACAGTTGGGGTGATTGATGGAATACCAGCAGTTATTGAAATTTTGTTTTATTTATTTTGTTGTTCAAAATAAAAGAAATTATGAAAAGCTGAATTGATTGAAGGGCTTTCCTGGGGTGTTGTGGTTGCTTTGTGTCAGAATGACTCTGTAGGTTATGGTCCCTACGGCATCTGTTCAGGTCACACCTTGGGCTATCATTCAGTTGTGTTCTGCAGCTGGGTCAGGTCATGGTTTGGACAAATCAAGCTGGAAAGTGAGAAAATACAGATAAAAAAGGAGACTATGCATTTGTGCAAGTGTGAATGAGAGGATGGGGGCTGTCAGGGTTAGGTCCTCATAGAGCACCTTCCTTGAGGCTTCACAGTCACACCCTAGGATCATTCCTTGCAGTAAAGATTGCGCCCTAACAGCCCTCAGTCCTCCAACAGGTGAAGGATTGAGGACTGTTAGGGTTAAAGAGAGTGACAGATGACTGAAATTGCAGGTGCGTGTACATGTATTTTGGCAATAACCTGGTGCGAAAAGACTCTGCATGCCTTTTTTGCTTTCGGTTTCTGTCGTTAAGTCTCAAGTTTGGTCTCCAGGGGCACAGCTCTCTGTTTGGGCTTGCTACTAGTATATTTCCGGCACATTATTGTTGACCTTATTTGAACACTGTTCCTCTGAAGTACACAATAACCATGTTTGTATGGTTCCCCGAGGGCAGTGCCATGTCAAAGAGCAGATTCTTAACTGTAAAACTGCCAGCACCTGTCTCGGTGTCAGTTTCACCCAGCACCGTATTCATGTACACATCTGTGTCATAAGACTTCTTTCAAAGAAAAGAGGTCTGGGACAAGGTGACCATGTGAGGAAACATACTGAAGACTTTATCTCAGCCATCTTGTAATGAATATTTGCGTGATGTACATTATCTTTGCCATTTCTTGATGTGCACGTGTTTTTTGTGTGAAAATGGTTATGGTTTACAAGGAAGTGGTGTGTTAAGGAAATTGGCATATCCTATGATTACAATTCAGGAAGTGATTGCCTGGTCCTGTTGAAAGTTATCACAAATTCCAGGGATGTTTGCGCGCTGGCATGTTAGAGTAACATATGTTGCATCGGTCAGCTAATGTGTTTAAT